GTAACGGGAGATTTTCTCTAGAGTTCCGGCGATATCTCTAAGACGGTCTACTTGCAAAATATGGAAGGATTTATTCAGGGATCCCGAATTCATAAGAAAACAATTTAGTTTATCAACCCCATCAAATCAGTCTATGCTTGGCACGTTGAAGAAAGATGGGATTCGTTTAACGAACATAATTAACCTTCAAGGAATTGACGATCCATTTACCGAGGTTACAAGTACAGTTATTACCCTAAAAGATTCCTATTTAAATTCAGATCAATTCGGAATACAAGCAATCTTTTATTGCCATGGTTTATTGTTATGCAACATCGATAGCAAGATCAGTGAATACAAAACTGTGAGTAGACTTGAGGTTTAAGCCCCATGTTTGGGGCAAACAAGGTGGATCGAGCCGTTGACAAGATATTACGTTGTACGCGAGATTTATGCTCTAGGATATGATAGCAACAAGATATACAAAATCTTGAAGAGTACTTCTAGTGGTCATGCCCGAATGAGTTTTGAAATCATGTTAGATGATTGGTCCATAATGAAACGTAGCGGCGTGTCTTTGAACGGAAATACTTACTGGATTGGTCATGAAGATAAACGTAGAAGCAAACCCATGCTAATAAGTTTTGATTTTTCAAGAGAGAAATTCCAACCTCAGTGTCTTCCTCCTGATGTTTCTCGTAATGGTACGTCAATTATGGCTCTCTCAATTGTTAGAGGAGAAGAAATTTTGTTGTTACATCAGAACTCTCGTACATTGAAGACGGAAATATGGGTTACGACCAATAATAAGATTGACAAGACCAAAGTGTTGACATGGAGCAAGTTTTTAACCGTGAATTTACATACTCGTCTTGTTCGCTTTTCGCGTAGGACATCTTTCTTCATCATGGACGAGGAGAAGAAAATCGTTTTATACGGAAACCTATCCTAACTACTCAGCTCAAGATTATTGGAGAGAACAACAAAGTTAAAGAAGTCTTTCTTAGATTAGATAATTACTAGTGTCCACCGCCAGTTGTGTTCAATTTACGTTCCAACTTTGATTCAAATCCAGCACGGGTGATTATCCAGGATGCAAGATTGATGTTGAACTTCAGCAAACGTAATAATTTTGTTTTTCTGTTGGATAATTCTGTTTGATTTGCTCCGTTTGATATTTAATTTCTCAGCTCTGATTAGAAATATTACAGTTTTACATTTGCATTTGTACTGGTTTAAGTACAAAACATGTTTTTCAATTGCATCTCCAATTCCTGCACTGCAGTTAGGACATCCAAAACATTTATATAACAAAGGCGGTACATTGTAACATGGACCAATAAATATTGTTTTGCTCATCAAACGAAGATTATTTTTAAAAGAACACAAATTGATCAAACCAACACAAATACAACGGTTTACGTGACTGATTCAGAGGAAGGCCAAACCAGGTAGGAGAAGTAGGACGAGAATGGATGCACCCACTGATCCAGAGTTTCCGGTGGAGTTACGAGGGTCGATTGGTGGAGGTGTAGCAGCAGCAACAAGAAATGGTGGACTGGATGCTCTTGGTGGAGGAGCCTCGATCTCTGGTGGTGGTGGAGGAGCCGTAAATGGTAAGCTGTCATCTCCAAAACCTGCCATTAACACAAAACACTTCATTAGCAATGCTTTGTTTCCTAGTTATATACAATGTTATTCCTGATTTGGTCGCTTACAATTAGAACGCTTCCAACCCAAAATCATCCTCTCCCGGTCGAATACAATGCGGTGGCCCGACATCAAGTTCTCTGCATTCCACACATACTCTCATTATATGCATACATGTAATTTGTGCGTCAGTTTTGAGATACTTACGTCCGATGATGTTAATCTTGAGATTTTCACTATTCAGAATACCCATGCAGTACATCAGACTACCCTCCTGTTACTCTTGTTCAAAACCAAAAATCAAACTTCGATAGATAAGCTAATACAGAGATGAAAGAAAATTTAAACACTATGTCTTACCTGAGACCGTGCTCCAAAAAATGGAGTCAGGAGGCTCATTTTGGATCCTCCTGCGAATGTCATCTCTACTGGAGGTGGAGGTAGTACTTCCGAGAGTGACACGTTTGGACTGCATGTCAAGAGGAAGAGCATCAGAATTCAGATGTGGTACAGATTTGTGACCATTTTACAAGTAACTTAGCTAGTTTAACTACACCTTGTACTTTCATATTCTTCTTCTCAAAATTCAGTGTTTCCTTTTCTTTCTTACTTTTTAGGTGTTCTGGCGTGTGCTAAAAGTCCAACACATTCTACTAAAATGGGCAAAAGCATATTATAACTACATTGATAAGAGTGCGAGCATGACCTCAAGTCGTAACAGAACTCAAAAGAAATCTTAGGATCAACTGGGCGTCGCTTGTCCTTGATTTGCTCGTTCAGCTGCAAAAGTAAAATAATGAACGCATGTGATGTCTAAGAAATCTTCATTTCAATATCCATAGCAAAAATTACAGCACAAGATTTTCTTGGAGGAAGTGAGTTTACACATCTGGTTTGTGTTAACATGAATCTAGTCAGACAGATATTCTATTAGTGTAATCTAAACACTTACAGCTTTGGTAATAAGACCATATGCTGGCTCCAGTAAATGTGTAAATGATGAGCCAGTGTCGAATTGTGCAAACAGGCGAACACCAACAGGAACTCCCTTCACTGATACTTCCGTCACATTCACACCATATGCCTTGCTAGTTTTCATTTGGATAAAAAATGTGAAAAAGAGAACCATGGGAGATAGAAACAGAATCAGTGTAGATAGAAAACTTTAAGCGGTGTCAATCTGGAATTGACTATGTACCTTGGTTCAACAGAAATGAATGGAGTTTCCTCCTGGTCTGTGTAGCCTTTGTCTCCAAAACTGATTCTTCCGAGAAAGCTAATGACACGCCCGAAACACATTGAGAAGGAGTTTGCAGTGATATTAGCTTTTGCCAGAAGGCTCGGAACAGAATAATCTTTCATACCAAGACCGAGAACACCATTCACAGAAACAGTTCTCTGGAACAGACCTGTCTGATTATGACCGCAACTGCACCACAAACAAGGATTCAGTTCTTTGGCAACTCCTTCGTTGCCCCATGTCATTTCTCAAACAGGGGACAGTTGATGGAGCCATGAGTTCTAACTTCTAGGAAAGGCAAAAGACCTAGACTTCTAACATGCCCGGATTTTTCACTTTCTATTAATTCTTTCTGTTTATTGGGTTTTCTACGTAAACCAATAGGTTGCTTCACGAATTTTCCATGGCGGTAACAGGAAATGAACCTTGGTGCAATAGGGTCCATAAAGGTTTTTTGTTAAGAAAAGACAGCGGGAAAGAGTCATTACTTACCCAAGCGTGATATTAGCTTCGACAGGCTTTAAACGCGCATCCTCTGTGACCAGATGCAATACATCCTGTACCAATGTCCCTGTAGTGGCTGTGGTAAAAGAGTTGGAAACCTGATAAGGGCAAATACTTGCAGGAGAAGAACACCGACTCGATTCAAAACAACACTTGTCACTGCATCTAATGCTTGAACTTGTAGAAGATGTGTTGGGACTGTAAAGATTGAGTGGTATACTCTGTGTCAAAGAAGAGAAACGAAAAGAGTTAAGGAACAAATAGTCTGAAGAAAATGTTCAAGAGGAGAAAGGTTACCTCTTGAAGTCCAATATCTTTCAAGTCGCGGACCGCAATTGCAAGGCAACCAAAACAAATCAGTGTCTGAGTCCAGAGCCACCAGGAACCAAGTAGCTGGTGTTCCCACAGAGACATTGGCGTAATGCAGACTGAAACCACATGGATATACAATAAGCAATGCATTTGAGTACCCATACATACCATAACGCTTTACTATATCACCAATACCAAATTAGTTTGCATTAAAGAAGAAAACGAAATGTGATGAATCAAGAGTAGAAGAGGAATTAAAATCCCAAAAAATCGAGTGCAATCGTCTCGTTGCCTGCCATGAAAGTAAGAGGGCTTTCTTCGTTGTTGGAGACTTCGACCTCGACCTCGACCTCGAATCAAGCGACCATGGTGTGCCAAACCTTGAAGTACTCCAAACTTTCTTCTTCCGGAACAAGATCGTTAAACCCAAGATTTTGTTTGACCGCATCAGAGAACATGTGGTGAACTTCGAAGCTGAACTTCCCAGAAGACTCACATCTCTCCAATCCCCAAAGCCCCACTAACACAGACAATAATACAAACACTTGGCGTGCAAGGGCCATGATTTACCTCCCGGTTTATTTCCGACAAATCAAAAACAGTTCGAACGTAAAAAAGGTCTTTTTATCTTCTCAGATAACGAGTTACACCTGGACGAATCATCCCATATATGTAAGGAAATTGAGGAGTTGAAGAAATCAAGAGCTTGACTCGTTCTCATTGTTGCAGATAAGCAGAGAGAAGCTAAGAGCATCATTATCCATGAGATTTGGTGGGATTTGGTGGGTATCATTAGATTATTAAAATTTGAGTAAAAGGAAGAAAGAGAGTGTTTTTGGTTGAAATAATGGAATGTATTAAAATATAAAATTAATAAAATTTGAGTAAAAAGAGGAAATGAGTTGATACTTTTGGAGAGAGAGAGTCTCTTTGTATCAATGGGTTGATACTTTTGGAGAGAGTTTAAATTTTAGTTGGAGTGTGTTTAAATATAAAATTAATAAAAATTGAATAAAATGATGAAAAAGAAGGTATAAAGTTGAATAAAAAGAAGAGAGAATGTGTGTTTTAATAATTTTATATCTATTGATACCCACTAAATCTCATGGATAACGATGGTCTAAGTTGATTCTTCGAAGTAATACTTGTTTAATTGGAGTAGTATTAGTAGTAGCCATTATCTTGTTGCTTCGTCTTCTCCCTGAAGCAGAAATTTGACGAAAACAGAGTACAGTATATCTGATGAGGAAGGAGACGACTTTTGCGGAAAAGCCCCTTACTCTTCTTAGCTTTTTACTTAAATCCTTTTATTATTAACAGACTTCACTTAATTTCTTCTGCAGTTTTGGGCTTTGGCGGTATTTATCAAGAACATAATTTCACCTAACTCTTGCAATTATACAAGGCACTATTTTTTTTTTTTTGGGCACCAACAACATTGTAGTTGACCTTTTTTATAAGACAAATTATGTAGACGACCCTTTTATACAAGATCACTCACGTCGTATTAAGGGGTATATCAATATTCAGATAGTATATTTCTAATTAAAAACAAGTTGTAGATTAGTACAACTTTTATTATCATACTAAATTCGATTTAAACAATAATTTGAGAAAAGGTAAGCTCAAAGTCAACAGAGGAGGAGGGCATTATGATTTACGAATCATTCCCATTTTGCCTAATAGGTTAGTTTTCAAGAATACCCGTTGTGGGTGGCCTTACATGTTTGACAATGCACTTGCTCCAGACACTTTGACATATCCAAAACATTTATATAACAGAAACATACATTGTAACAGGAAGATAAAGATTGCCACTCTCAAACCAATGACAACTATTGTTTTGCTCATCAATCGAAAATTATTTTTAAAACGTAACATAAAAATGGTCAAACCAACACAAACCGAATGGCTTATGTGAATCAGAGGAAGGCCAAAAGAGGTAGGAGAATTAAGAGTTGCGATGCGACAGGGATGAGACTGGCTGCAGCGCCTGAGCCGCCAGGATTTACTGTGGAGTTACGAGGGTCAAATGGGGGTGGTAA